AAACTCATGATCAGTTGCCGTTTTTCACCTATCAGACTGGAAATATAAATGATGAGGGTATGGGAAAATAGATAATCTCATATATTATAATAAAAATATAAATTGGTACAACTTCTATGAGTGCAAATTGTGTTGATTAAAATTAAATATAATCATATTCTTTGATTCTGCAAAGGAAATTTTTCACAAACACACGTGCAGTGTGGCTCCCTTTCTTCAGTATACATGGACATTGTCATGTAAACTGCAGTAGCCATCTTGTAATTATAGAGACAACATCATGGCCAAACAAACCCAATGAGCATGGCAGAGTGAAGCAGTGGAAAGCATTTAGGCCTTCACTGATATTACTAAGCTCCCTATCATACTCTACCTAGAGTTCCCTTACATCTGAACTTCTATGAGATAATCAGCTTTTCCATTAAGTCCTATTTGAATTGGGATTTCTGTTATTTACAGCTGAATGTATTCTAAGTAGATAAATATGTGTATAGCTTGTTTGTACATACGTGTATCATGTATATTTAGAGACACACATATCTATTTAATTTTGAATATGCTATCTACTAAATCGATTATAACCATTTTCCTATATTTAGAATGTGTGTTATTTCCAATCTTAAAAATAATTCACTCTGGTTTTACATAAATGTTTGCATTTTGGGGGAAAAGATAAAATTTTAGAAGTGAAATCACCATTAGAACCCCTCAGGATCTTGTTACTAAGCAACTTTTGAAAAATAAAACAAGGTTTATTTAAACAAAGAACAATTTGATAGGCAGCCCTCAGAACCAGAAGAGGTTGAGAGAACTCTGCTATGCAATGCAGACAGGCAGCATTTATAGGCAGAAAATGGAAACGAAGTATAGAAACAGCTTGGTTGGTTATAAATCTGAGTTTGCCTTGTTTGGACGTTGTTTGGTCAGTTGCCTGCCTGAGACTGGCTGAAACTCAGCTGCTGTGATTGGCTGACATGCAGCTATTTGTTATAAAATATACCCCTAAGTCAGGCTTTCAGTTCGTTTACTTAATAAGTTAGATTGTCCTTCAGTTCCATAGGGAGGTATGGAGGTTGCCTCAGGCCAAATTTAGTTTAATGTTAAAAATTGGAAGGTACTGGGCAGGGCCTTTTTATAGCTAATGTACAGTATAGAGTGTTTATTTCTGATCATGCTTACTAATAACGCCAGATATTAGCATAAAACTTAGTACAGTTGTAGGTAAAAGGATGTCATCTCATTTTAAGTTACATTTTTATCATTAGTGAGAATTAATAACGTGGTTTATGAAGAAGTTGCATTTTTCCAGGATTCCACTTGTCAGATCAGAATCAGAATAAAAAGGTAGCAAGTGCAAGGGTCTAGGCTCAGGTATCAAATATAAAGAGTCAGTAAATACAGCCAGTCAGTCAGAACCTATTTCTGTATCTTTTCACTTAAAGATCTCATGAGCTGATGACAGGAGACAATTTGTTGGGAAGAGAGAGGCTTCAGACACTGGTATTTTTGTGATGCCCTCCCTCATGAGCTGAACTGTAAGGAATTAGATATTATACCCTTCCTAGAAGTTCAGACATTTGAGAACAGGGGGATATGGCTATTGTACATCATTTTCTGTGTGAGGTCCATGGAGAGGAGCATCATTAGAGTGGTTCCCAATGATGTTGCATCTACAAAGTAGAAATGGTGATATAGCATGAGGAGGCTTCCGGTAAAAGCTGGTCAATTTTGTGAGAAATCAAAAGTTACAGTTTTGCACACCTGAGTTAATGACTGTGAAAAATTGTACCTCTACATTTGTATTTCTTACATTATGTGTATACCCATCTTAGTCATTTATTAGTCGTGCACCTCTCTGAGTCTCAACTTCCTCATTTCCAAAATGGAGATAAGAGTTCCTATATAATGTGATTTTCTTCTGTAAGTCATACTCATGGATCTCGTCCAATTCCCTATAAGTAATTTATTCCTTATTAAGCTTAAGAGGATATATGAGGGCCAAATACACTAACCAGGTAATGTACTAGGTAAGGCTGTGTCAATATATATATGGCCAGATTCCAGCCACTGTCCCAATTGCTGCCCTGAGATGACACTGCTGTCTTTGGCCAGGATGAGGAGTCTTTGGTCAAACATCTGTCTGGTCAAACATCTGTCTGGTCAAGCTGGATAGGGCTCACTATTCATAGTCCACACGCTTCTCTCAGTGAAGGAAGGATTTCTGCTGGCCCTGCATTTGCAGAGCCATTTCTCCCATAAGAAACTTACTTGGTGCAATTTGTTTCAGTCACAGGTATGCACCCTGGCCGATGAGAAGATAGGAATCTCTTTGGGTTTGCATCAGTCCTATGCAACTTTGGTGGAATTCTGTCTGACTGGTGCCGTAAGGAACTTAAGTTCACTGTAAGACACAGGTCTTGGTAGATTCTAGACTTTGGGATAATTTTACTGGCATATCTACAGACAAGGCATATCTACAAGTAGGGAGGAGTACACTCATCTGCTTTTCTTTACTATAGTTTTTATCCCAGGGCACCTGGCCTCGTTCAGAGCCCAAGATGACCTGGTGTTCCTCAGTAGAATTCTTCACCTAGGGTGCAGGCAGCCATATAATTCACTCCATTACTTGAGTTGCCTGAAAAGTATGCAACTTTTCGGGAAGATATTCTTGAAGCTTGAAGCCTAGCAATTGCCTCAATGACCACTCAATTGTTTCCATGTAACAATTTTGATTTTCTCCCATAGTCACTTTAGTGTGCTCAGTAAACTGGTGTTTTATGCTTGATTGTCACCTTCAGAATTCTATCTCAGCATTTTCAGGATCTCATGACATCATGTAGGCATACTTTCTTATATAGACATGCTTTGTTTTTGACTGGTTGAGAGGTAATGCCAAGGTTCTGAGTTCCATGGGAATAGAGCCAAGAGACATTTGGCTTCTTAGACTTAGTGTCCGTGAGAGCAGATCTGAGAAAATCTTGTGGAGGATCTATGGCCCAAACCGCATAATCAAATTTTGTTCTGAATGGTGTCCTTCATAAAATGTTAAAGAGAAAAAACCCTTAATACTTGTAGGAAAAGGTTTCCTAATCGAGTAATCTTGAATGGTTAGGATAACAAATTAAAGGGGTCAATTAGTGATTTAATCTTTTTTACATTTTTGGTTTAAAGTTACTATTAAGATAAATTGAATAAAATATAGCTGTTAGCCCATCTCAGGAGACGTTTTCAACAGATCTCATTAGGATCAGAACCTGGTATTATGTTTTACATTTCTATAAATTAATACTAGTGAATAATATTTTGCCTATAGTGCATATATAGAACTAATAAAATTACATTTTATTAAAGTTGATTTTTAAGAAAGTATATGTGTGTGCTTATTTAAGACATCAGCTTTATTATGAAGCAGAAACAATAATATAATACTGTTAAAAACTTTTCTTTCTTATAGTAATCCAAAAGTGGAATCAATGAAAACAAAGCATGTGTGTCTTGCATCATTGCCAAACTATACAGTTCCATATCAGGAATACTTAGTGTAATGTTAAACCTGACATAAGCTAGTCAACCTTTATAAGTTATCTTATTAAGGAGATATCTGTCATTATTATATATACATTTTATGCCTGTCAGATAAATTGGGCAGCCTCATATGTAAAATCTTACATTCAAGAACATCTTGTGTTCTTGACAGGATGTGATACTAATGGAAGCATTTTGATGTGTAATCTAGGAAAATATATTTAAATATTCCTTTTGTCTAGTGTTTTGAATGGCAACCAAGATAAACTTGCTGTAAACCATGCATGCTATCTGATGTAAATATACTCATTTTCCAAATACTTCCTTTGCAAAATGCCATCGAGGCATGAATGGTACTAAATTTAGTACCATTTTTCATTGCTCCACATCTTACTCAGGGATGACCAAAATAGTATATTTTGCTTTGATATGTTTTGCAGTGTGTAAACTGGAACTGAATGACCATGCAAATGAAATTTCAACACTCTGTGTCACATGCAGACCAGTCATGACTTGCCTATCATTGCCTATAGTTTCATTTCTTAGTTATATTATTGGTAGTACTCAGGTGTTTTATTTTAAAAAGTGTTCATTTGATATTTGAAATGGATTTTATCATATAGTTTAATCAATATTTGAATTTAGATTTATATTTGTATATAATTAATATACAAATAGAAATTATTGAAATGACATTTATATTAATTATAAACTATTTAGTGATATTAACACATAGAATTTTAATTATCCTCCCTGTTAAACTTAGTCACTGCTTTATAACTAAGTTACTAAACTGATGGAGAGTGGAGTGGAGGGATCACTTAAAAAATATTTATATATGTTATTGCACTTAAGGATTTCTAGGTACTTTACAACTGTTTTGCAATTCAGTTTGAAAATTGGTGCCCCCAAAGTTCAGATAAGTGTACCAGTTTCATTAAGTGGTAAGAAAAAAATGTAGCTTCCTTGTGTCTCTGTGGCTTCAGTAGAACTTGTAACTCTAGGACCATATACCCTTGCCAACTGCAATGCATTTGGAAATTGAACCTATGAAAACATATAAATAGTTTTCAGGTCAAGATAAAGAGAAATGAAACAGATATAACTAGTCCTTGCTTTCATATGTGTAAAGCAACTTGACCAGAACCAATTTAATAGGAATTTAACTCCTGAGAACCAGAGTAGCAGACCTAAAATTCCTCAACCAAACTTTTGTGCTAAACCATTAGACTTTTATGATAAAGTGAAAATCAGAAATCCAGAATTAATCATTAGAATAAAAACTGTTGTGTCTTTCAAAAAATGTGAAAACACTTTAATATAACTTATATTGTGTCTACAAATTAGATGTAAGAAATAATTTCATTTAGTCATAGTACAATAAATTTGATTAACAAAATCCCAATTTACAAAACAGAAGTAAATAAATGCAGAAATATATTCATTATCAAATTATAAAATAAAAGTAACAGTTATTGTTGAGATAGCATCAGTTTATTCTTCATTTCAGATAATAGAGTCAATTATTTTGGTATGCTTAGTAATATTTTTGCAAGTATTAAAATAATGGAACGTTGAGATTTAAACACAATGACAGTAAACCAATGTAATTTCAAATTCACATTATACAGCCATCATGAATCCATAAGTGAATGTTAATCATGTAAAAAAATATAAAATGTTTGTAATATAACCATCTAATTATTAACATATGGAGTTTTAAGACCACTATTTAATCTGCTAATTTGCTCTGAAATATAAGTAGTTGCTTTTCTGTGATGCATGACATGTCTTTGTGCCTTTGTACTTAATTTGAAATGTCCTTAGTGTAAAAATATACCAAAGTAAATAAAAAAGGAGACACTTATTTACAAAACAATATTGTATACATATTATATAAATGCATTGTTTCAGTCTTTTTATACAATATTGATAGAGTCGATCATTTCTATTATTTTACCATAAAAACTGCAGTGTTGCAAAGGCAGTGTTGTAATTTTCCAAAGACAAAATTACATACTTCTCCGAGTATGTTATTTTGACATTTTGATAAAAACGAATACTATTTCACTGCCTTTTAAGATAACGCAGTTTCTCCAAGTATGCTACAGAATTGAAAGCCAACCTCTAGAAAAATGATTCTTCTTACGTTAAAGAAAATCCATTCCTCATTTGGAGGTATAGGAAAATGCACCTGAAGAAAAGAGAAACTTACTATCTTACTGAATGTTTTTTATGTGATAAACCTGGTAGCCTCAGACATTCAGCCTATTGTATTAGCACCATTGGCATGGATTGTTAATGTACTGTGTCAATTACAATAGGAATGGAAATTGCATACGCTGCACCATCCCTATTTTTGTGGAATTTTATCTTACCAAGTATGCTACCATACAATATAAATTCAAGTGTTTAAGGATGAGTCGAATGATGGTATATAACAATCCTGCATTTTACCAATACTGTATGTAGATTTTTTCTGTAAATATTAAACAAAACTGTAAAGAAATAGACTTTAAAGCATACTCCTTTAATTCATCAGAATGCAAGGAGAATTGCCTTCATTTCCTCGCCGATGTTGTAATATACAGGAACATAAATGTAATTTGATCTCCTTCTAGCTCAAAAACTCTGGAAATCATAAAACTTTATTGTATGATTTGTTTGGATGGTTAAATGCCAACCATTGCATATATTCCCCCTTTTAGTTTACATACTGTAGCTTATGCTTAAGTGACTGTAGGATACTCTAGGCCTTTAGCCTGTGGTACTTAATTTCACAGCTTCAAAATTGTTGAGGGGAAAACCTTCCATGTTTTAGGAAGTTATGAACACTTAATATAAATCTCATGAGCACCCGCAGCGGTCTACTACCATGGCTGGAATTTTCCCATATATTATTTGTTCTTTGCCATTAAAATATAGCATATTAATTGGAGACATCTTTGTGGGAGTACAGCAAGGGCCTGCGGAACCTCTGGGGTTTGCTTGGTGTACCAGATGAGTATGAGGATATTTTTGTAAAAATACAAATTCACACTCTCCAGAGCAGTAATTGGCCTTATATCTTTTAGGAGCGATAATCCAATCCCATCCAAAAGCTTCAAAATCTACAGTTAGAGGGTAACGACAGCATCGCGATTCTGTTGAGTGCTCATCACAGTCAAGACCAAAATCCCTTCTGGATCTTTTTGGTGTGTCTGTTACCTTGACCTCTAAAAAGGGATTCTGTTTGAAAAGGAAAGGACAATCAGTAATGTCAACAGACCCGGAAACACTTTTCTACCTACCTTAAGAAGTCATTGTTGAAGAAATAAACTAATAATTTTGCTCATACCACATTTATTTTTAAAAGGCACAGCATTAAGGAATGTTAATTTACACTAGACTTGATTTTCTCCTTATGTCTCAAAAGAATTTAACAGAAATACAAATTCCCCTGAGATCAGTTCCATGTCTTTTTAATTTTTATTTTTCCAAGTTTGAGTACCAGACTGCCTGGCACATAGTGGATGTCCTGAAAATATTTATGGGAAGAAAGGGAGGGAAGGACAGGAGAGAGAGGTGAAGAAGGAGAAGAGGGGAATGAAGGAAAGAGCTGAGCTCCCTCTCTTCTTGCTTCCTGATTAAATATATTGGCTAAATATGCCTGGTAACTCCTGGAGGGGTAGGTATAGTCATCCATCCTCCATTCTCTAGGTCCTCACTCAGGAAAACTAGAACAATAAAGCCAGGGAAAAATAAGGAAGGACAAATTCAGAAGAAGAGATGATGATATCTCCTTAATTCTTTCACTGGAAAATGTTTCTATTCAGATATTTTAAAGTTTGTTGGTTCTGTCTCTGCCCCAGTCTTTTAATGCATTTGAGACTTTGTTTCCCTTTACATGAAAATATCTGAGGAATACAACATATTAACCACTGGTCATATTATCAATTTTGATAATTAAAATGCTACCTATGAAAAGGAACACTTTCTTAAATAATTGACAGTAGTTTTTAGTCCATATCTAAATGAAAATAGCTCTGGCAGTATTATTTAAGACTGTCAAAAATCATAATATCATTTGAGTCCTTAACATTTAAAGTAGCATATATAAAGGAAACTAGATCATTTAGAAAATTGTATAGTCTTTTAGATACCTGCACACGTATGTTTATCACAGCACAATTCACAGTTGTAAAGATATGGAACCAGCCTAACAGCCCATCAGCGGATGAATGAATAAAGAAAATGTGGTGTATATATACAATGGAATACTATTTAACCATAAAAAAGAGTGAAGTAATGTCTTTTGCAGCAAATTAGATGGAGCTGGAGGCTGTTATTCGAAGGCAATGGAAAACCAAATACTATATGTTCTCACTTATAAGTGCGAGCTAAGCTATGGGTATGCAAAGACATACAGAGTAGTATAAGGTATTTTGGAAACTCAGAATGGGGAGGTGGGGATGAGGGATTAAAAACTACATATTGGGTACAATATACACTACTTGGAGTGATAGGTGCACTAAAATCTCAGACTTCACCGCTGTACAATTCATCCATGTAGCCAGAAACCACTTGAACCCCCAACATATTGAAGTAAAACGTGTGTGTGTGTGTATATGTATATACACATATATAAAATTAAAAAGTAAAGATGAAAAAATAAATATTGTATAGTATTTTAAAGAATGTTTTATTTAAAGTAATTCTGATCTGCTAATTATTTCATCTTTATAACTAAGATCATTGAAAGATTACGAAGGTAACAAGTTTGTTGTTTGTAAGTATAATCTTCTTTTGTAAATTATGTCAATAGATGAATGTAAAAAGATGTGATCACATTAAGTATTTGAAAACAGAAGTAAACAGAAATGTAGGTAGGCCAGAAGAGTAACCCTAAATTTGTACTAGGAATTAAAATGGTTTTTATTAAATTTTATAATATATAAGGTATTGTCATTTACTTGGCCTGATACTAAGTTAGTTGGCCTTCTGTAAGTAAACTTTTGCATAAGAATGCTAAGGCAGCTCAGAAATTAGCTGGCAGAAATAAGGTGGCAAAAGTTAACCAGCCTGTAAATTGAAATTTTATTAGGAGTATTCCACAAAGAAATATATACACACATCAGTACATCAACACCCTACAAACAGGGAACGTATTTATCATGAGGAATCTTAAATATATTTAATAAAATGTAAGCCTATAAATATCACTCTTAATTGCTCTGAATAAAACATTTTAATTATAATTTTAAAAGGTTTTTTTTTTTAACTGTTTTTGCTAAGCCAAAAATTTTTAACACATTTGGCACCCTTCTTGGAGAAAAAAAAGTTTTGATTTGTTTGTATATGTAATAAAATCCACTATATAGAGTTAATATTTTAATTCATACAGTCATGTATCATATTAATGAAAAGTACTTTATATTTCATTCCCAATTCAAAAGAACTTCTTAAGAAGTTAAGAAGTATGGTATAATTGTTTTCTAAAATCTTCATGCAAAGTAAGAATATCAAAGGAGCGTTTCATAGGATATGAAATTGGACACCTACTTTTATTGGGTACAGGGCTACCGTTGGGGTAAGATACCTTTGTCTGGCTTATGAGCTTAGGGAATTTGTAGCTATTTTCCACTATTGTTTATTCATATTATGAATAAAAGCATAAGGTTATTACAATGTTATTTTCAGTTATCACTTACCAGCCCATCTTCTCCTGGTCCTGGGAAGGTTACAGCAAGATCATGACCATTCTCATCTAAAGCTTTTATTTCAATGCCTAAGTTGGATTCAGGTTGTTTGAGCCAATTTTGCAACACTGTCTTCACATCAATGCTCTGCCAAATACCAGTGCCTGGGTTCATGTCAAGTTTCAGAGATCGGATTCCAGTATACCTTGTACCGTCTTTCATAGGTTTGATGAGTCTCAGGATTTGCACAAACACTGTTGTAGGAGTCTCAACGGGTCTCAAATATATCCATAGTTGGGCCTTTACCACTTTATTGTATTGTATTTTAGAGCTAAATTTAAAGAAGCAACATTTGGGTTTTCCATCCACTTGCATTAAAAAATCAGCTATAAATGAATAAGAAAAGAAGAGTTACTGAAATTATTTCCCACGAACAAAACCCCTCCATATTAATAGTTGAGCATTTAAAAAAAATTAAGATAATGTATGCCTATGCAGTCTTTTAAAATGAAATACTGTGTGGAACTTTATAACTCAGCAAAAAATGTGAAAGAAAATAATTACCCTAGCTTTTCAGAATTTTTCAGATGTATGTATTTTCAGCTGTTCATCAGGAATCTATTCCCCTTCCAGAGAACTATGGACAAAGGAAGGTTCTATGAAGTCATGAACACTGAATGAAATTTTAAAATGATGATGATTAGAGAGAACAAGAGTCACTGTGGAGGAACAACCACTTAGAATTCTTTGGGAATCTGAGTAGTTACACTTACTGAGCAGCTGTACCAATCAGTCTGGAAGAAGGAACCCTTCCCCCAGGCCTGAATTACCTGGGGACAAGACACACTGAGCAACTTACTGAGCCTCGGGAATTAGTAGAAAACACAATACATCTGTTACATTTTGGCTTTGGAATAGCCTTTTAAAGGAGCAAAACTAAGCAGGTAATTCACACAAAAATTTTGATGTTATATTCAGGCTATCTCAAAAGTTCCAAAGTATTGTCTTTAGGAAGCCAGGCTGTCATGTAAGCACAAGCACTAACAATTTCCTTTATTTTGGTTTTCCAAAATTGTCTATAAAAGGTAAGTCTACTCCAGACCTATTCGATAGCAGAGTCTTAAATGGAAATTCTTTGCTGCATCATAACCTGATTACTTAATAAGGGAAATAATATTTTAAAACTGTTTTGAATCTTGTTTAAAGTATATAAAGCATTGTATTAAAGCAAGATAACAGATAACACAAAGTTTTTCTTGCCATGCCTTCTCTGTCAAGGTGCCTGTTTCTCTTTCCTGGAGAAAGTATTCTTTTGAGCTGACTGCAAATGGAATTGTATGAAATATGTTATCTGTCACAAGCAATGTAGATACCACAGGTAAAAGCCCTCCCTCTCAGGAAGAATAAAATATTTTAGAAGGTTATTAGGCACTATGCCTGCTTGGAAGTACACAAACTGGGTACTCTCAACAATAGTACTATGGTCAAGGTACAAGGAGGACTTTGTGAGCCATAACCTACCCAATTAAAATGTTTATTTCTTAGGCATTTTCTAATATTTAGTTCATGATGATTATTATGCTATGTTTACTTCATTGTTGTTCTTACTAATACATTAAGATATTTAATTTGTCATACTCTTTACTGTAATAGCTTTCAAAATTAAATTTTTAACTTTGAAGAACAAAAAAATACTGTAAGAGTTTCAAATAACAGAAATCACTTTAGGTTTTCAGCAGTGCTCAAGTAAGCTTAAACATCCAGCAAGTTTCTTTTTTTTCTGTTATTTGTGAAAAAAACTTATTTTACACAACCAAATATAATTATAAAATTTAATGTAAATTTTTAACATTGCTTGTAGTATCTCTCAGTCCTTGTCTTGGTGGTATTATTGTGAAAGCAGAAGTGTGCTATCTGTATTTTCCTTATTAAACTAATGCTATGCAAGTATTTTATTTTTTAGCTTTTTGTCTCTATAAGAAAACAAATAATGCAGCAGATTTTTGTCTCAAATTATTCTCATGAAATCTTGAAAAAGAGAAACTCTTTTCCTTTCTACTTACATACAGGCCAACAGCTTGTTAAAAGAGACTGAAAATAGATCTGTTTCTCATAAACACTAGAACAACAGTCAGCAGAACTGTTGATATACAGTAATAGGACTACTTACACTCTGTAGGCATGGTAATGATTGTTTCCGTTGTAGCGTGATAATCGTCATCTTCCAAAGAGCCATCGCTGCTGTCATCCCTCTGGACATCATACTGATCAATCAGTTCCCGGAGTGGAGGAGCTTTGGGTAAAAGTTGTCTTATAGCATCTTTGCTGATGTTAGGAGCTGTTTCCAGACGAAGTTTACTGAGGATTTGTATTTTAATGGCTTCTATTCTTGAAGATTTAGTGTTTTGTCTCCAAGTACATGCATTACACAGCCCCTCTTTTTCCACATTTTCTTTTTGCTCACTGTTCTCATTTAGATCCACTGGACCAGCAACAATCAGCATAAACAGGTAAATATAAACACAGAGTTGCAGTTTTTGCATGATTTTAAAATCAATATAATCTTTTTTTCTTGTTCTTAATTCTTCCTTTTACTTTTCTTTTGCTTTTGAGTAATGCCGAGCAAAATTTTAATGCATGTACAGTCTGAGAGACAACTTGCCACACCAGTGACTCTTTTATACTGTATTCCAAGTGGCTTTTTATATTCCAACTTAGATGAGACAAGTGTCGTCAGGATCTATGATTGGCTCTTGCTCCACAATGAATCTCGCTGTCAGAGGTTAAAACCCTGTCTGTCACAAGTCACCAAGCAGTATTTTGTTACAGTCAAGGGTGAGCTGATTCATTTGACTACTTCATAAAAGGAATAAATCCACAAATAATAAAAGATATTTGTGACATTTGAAAAACAAAAGTCTATGTTGGCAATAATATAAACTGTATTTAAATCTGATTAATCCTTACACAACTCTTGTAATTTAAATAAGTCAATTTTAATTTACACTACATAGTTAAAATATGAAATATTACTTCCTCAAAAACTAAAATGATTTTGTATTGTTTAGGCAAGCATTTGAAGTAAAAATATTTTTATTTGTTGTATTAAATTATTTTTAGTACCAAGTAATTAGGAAAATAAAAATTAGGAAGACCTGAATTAAAAGTTAAGATTATGATACTAGTAGAGAATTTTCATCTATAATTTGAGAAACTTGTTTGCTGACTAAATTCTTAGTAAATATTGAAAGTCATTATTATTATGATATATTGTGCATGGAATTATTTTTACATAGCTTAATGTCTTTTATTAATATGAAAATTTTACTGAACTTTTGACTGAGTGCTATTATTTCCTATTCTAAAAATGCAGATTAATATAACTCAGAAGATGTGTTTCTTCATTGTTTATTACCAAGAGGATAATGTCAGCTAGTAGAAAAATCTCTGAACATAGAATAAGATAATGAACTTTATAACTGGCATGGCAGAGCTTATTACAGTTTGCCTCAGATTCCTAGCAGTAAATTTCCAGAGAGTAAAAAGTGCAGTATCTCTTCTCTATAAATTATATCAGAATATTTTGAGCACGTAAAAGAGAAAGAGCATCATGATAAAGGGGTGACCTCTTGTTGTTTCCCAATACTGTGATATGTTTTCACCCCTTTGCCAATTTCTTATTTTGACCAGAGGGCAGACACCTGGCAGGGATTTGGGGTAAAGTCTGGGAGCAGAGAATAGAGCTTTTTGTTCTCTAAATGTAAGTGGCCTCTGTAGGGATCAAACGTTCAACCTTAGCTTTGGGAGCCACAAGATCTAGTCAAATGAACTATTAAAGAACTAAGCAAACATAGCCAGCAAGAAACAGAAGATATTTCCAGGCCAAAGGAGATTTCTTTTTCCTACTCCTTTTTGGGAAGCTAAGGATTCCTAAGAGATTTAATCCATTACATTTTTTTTTCCAAGAGAATACAGTGGCTCATATCAAATATTTATTTTTAAAGTCACTACCATTTTTGCACACTGTACACTAATTTACTGCCTCGGTGCACTAAAATGCAACTCAGTAGCCTGAAAAGTTAATGCATTTTCATCAAATTCTTAAGAGGTATCTACATCTCTTGAGAAAAAAGTGGCCTTACATAATGCATTGGATTTGCCCATCATTAAAGATTAAGGAAAACCAGACACAAACCAGATGCCCTGAGGATTTCAGATACTCTTTGTTATGGGACAATGTTAGATCTGGCTTCTAAGGTTTTATTTGTTTGGTAAATTCATTTTTCAATGTGTAAATCTTTGAAATGTTATGATCATTGTAACATATGCATCTATACAGTTGCAAGTAAGTCAAACTTTTTTTTTTTTAAATATGCTTAGAATTGCATAGCAGTTGAATTGAGAACTCAGGCTCTGGAGTCAGATAGACCTGAGTTCAAATCTCAACTTTGCCACTTCTAACTATATGATAATGGATGAGATACTTAACTTCCCTAAACTTTAGCTTCCTCATAGGGTTTTGGGGGGATATAATTTAATAATGCATGTAAATTGCTGAATGTAACACCTGTCACATAGTAAGTAATTGATAACTGGCACTTGAGTGCTTGCTCTTTGTTTTATGCAGAAGGATTTGAGATTATGCTGAAAATTATGCTCCACATGAACTAGAACTGCTTCAGGTCATAACTGCCAATTATCAGTCACAAAGTCTACCTTTCTAGATCTGTGAGGCAAGTAAAAATTCCTAAGGCAGCCAGGTTACAAGACATGTTCCAGCTCTTCATTCTTACTACCTGGAAAAAAGTGAATAAAGGTTGTGATTTCCACTTACAGACAATTCTCATTATTCATGATTTCTGTATCCACAAATTTGCCTCCTTGCTGAAATTTATCTATGAAACTCAATATTCCTGGCTTTTTTCAGTCATTCACTGGCATTCACAGAGGGGCAAAAAATTTGAGTCCTGTCTGACGCACAGGTTCCCAGATGAGATCAAACAAGGCAGGGTTCCACCTTATTGTTTCAGCTCTCATACCATAAACAAATTCCCTTTTTCTGGTCTATTTAGTGCCATGTTTTCACATATTTTGTGCTTCTTTTTTTTTATTGCTCCTGTTATTGATTTTGCTTTTTAAAAATGGCCCCCAAGCATAGTGCTGACGTGCTGTGTGGTGTTCCTATGTTCCTAATCACAAGAAAGCTGCAATGGAAAGTAGCATGGTGGTTGCCAGGTGCTGGGTGGCCACTGAGGGGTAGTTACTGTGTGATAGATAGAGAGTTTCAGTCTGGGAAGGTGAAAATTTCTGAAGATGAATGCTGATGATGGTTACACAACAGTGTGAATGTGCTTAATGCCACTGAACTGTACACCTAAAAGTGGTTAAGATGCTAAATGTTATGTATATTTACCACAATTTTAAAAGGCTGTGATATGCCTAAGGGAAAAAAATTCTTATGAAAAAATGCATGTGCTAGATAAGCATCATTCAGGCCTGAGTTACGGTGCTGTTGGCTGTGAGTTCGGTGTTAATGAATGAACAATATATATTAAATAATGTACGTGTAAACAAAAACACACATAAAACAAGGTTATATATTGATTGGTTGATGAAAATGTTATGACCAGAGGCTCAACTAACCCTGTTTTTCCCCTGGGAACAATAGTTCAATATTTGCTAACTCAGTGTTGGCAATGACTTTATAGAACATAACTAGTATGAATAGGGAGAACTGACTATATCTAATCAACTTTTCTAGAGAACAGTATTGAATGGGTGAAGAAGTACTGAAGAAATTTAAATAAGTTTTATTCCTTCTCCAGTGGCAGTGATTGCAACCTTCTGAAGGCCCCAGAATAGAAGGGCTCACCAGCTATAGGAACCTTCAAATGTAGTCTAACTTCTGGAGACCCAGTTCTGGCAGTTCTTATCATAAAGGAGACAGGAAGTACTACATCCTTAAGGTGAGTAGGTAGAGAAGAATTCCTGCTAGTTGACTGGGAGAGCTGCGTCTGTCAGCTTGTTGGTTTTGTCTTAAGTTAGCCATCTCTAAAAGCCGCTTCTCACAGGACTCGGAATTTAGGTCGTCAAGGCAGTATCTCACAAGACTGGTGTGGTTCGTCTTTGTACTAGGTAGGCTGCTGTGGGCCTCACATTTTCTGTAACCATCAGTAAGGTGGCAAGCAAAACTCTCTAATCTCTGTTACAAATACCCACTGGTTGTCTCAAAACAATGTTGAGGGTATAAAGAATATTTTCAAAAAACATTTTACAGTTTTATTTTTCCAGAGTGTGAGATCTACTGAGTGTACTAATGTAAAGACTTGCCGTAAGTTTAATGATCATGGCCAAAAAAAAGGAGAAGGATGAGATTAGGAATTAGCACAAGAATGAATCATGAAAAATTCAACAGTTTTGGGCAAAAACTCAGGAAGTTTTATCTGATATCTCTAGCCATTAACTTGTGTTTACAGCTCTTTGGTATTACTCTATGCTGATTATTCTTAAAGCCAGAGAAAATCTGCGTAGTACTCAACTCACACAACATCATGAGAAGATAATTGTCTCACATTGTTGATAACTGATTACCCATGCTTTCTATAGTTAGAAGATAAAAATTAACAAAAACAAAAATATTCTTGAGCTAGGTAGCATGAGTACAGGAATAGAAGGCAGGAGACCCAAAATATAGTTCCAGCTTTACTGCTGATGTTTTATGTAACCTTGAATAAGTCAGTTAGCAAACCCTTCATTTAAAAATGTATGTATATATGAATTCACGTATTAATTTATGAAATATTTGAATGCCTATTTCATACCTGGCACTATGCTAGATTCTGAGGATAAAACAGCGAGCCAGACAGACACAATCACTGTCTTCATGAAACCTATGGACTAGTTTCTTCATATGAAATATGAATAAATTTGATTAGGTGTGCCCTTTCCATTGAGGTTTATCCCCTAAAGCAGTGATTCTCAAAATTTTGGGTCTCAGGATTTGTTTACACTCTTAAAAATTATTTAGGATCCCCCAAATCTTTTTTGGTGTCAGTTATATCATTAATATTTAACATGTTATATATTAAAACAAATTTTAATATGCAGGCATATTCAAGCATACATTTTATTTGCTGACAGAGTCATGATGTCTTCATACATTACGGGGCCTCTGGAAAACCACTGTACACATAAGAAAGAATGAGCATGAGAAAGGCAAAAAGCATCTTAGTATTATTATGAAAACAGTTTTTATTTCATAGACTCTCTGGAAGAGAATTGGGAAGCACCCCAGTGATCCCCCAGACCACAGTTGGAGAACCATATGCCCAAAGTAGTAATTTTTACACCACCTCAATTGAATACTTCTGCCTTTAACTTGCAGTCCCCTCCTCCCAATACCTGTAGTGTTGCTTTTAATGAGACATCAAATATGGTAATTTTAAAACATTGTTTATTTAATAGTACATAATTATTGCAAAAATCAGAAATGTAAATATTATTATAATCACCAACAGCAAATTTGTAGGCAGTCGAGAGGACATTTGCAAAACATTCGTCAGTTCTAGAGTATAGACTCAAATTAGTAGTCTCGAGGGATTTCTTGTAGATGGTCTTCAGATGGTATTGAGGTAACTGTATTCATACTATGGCAATCCTCAAAATAAGGTCCTAGTTAATAAAATTGCTGCAATCCATTGTCCTTTAGAGGTAGAATTAACTCAGGAAAACTTCAAAATGCAATTTCTCCTCTCCCTCCTTCCCAAAATGGGAGCTCCAGTCTATTTATCATAGGCTTAAAATTTATCACAGAAAATAAAAATGAAGTTACAATTTGATTTCCTCATTTTTTCTATTGAAAAAAGGTACTAGGGGCCAGGCACGGTGGCTCACGTCTGTATCCCAGCACTTTGGGAGGCCGAGGCAGATTGGATCATTTGAGGTCAGAAGTTTGAGACCAGTTTGGCCAACATGG